TTATTTGTACAATAATATTAATATATATATATACGTAATAATATATATTATAAACTGTGATATATTCATATTAGAGTATGTATATTGTGATATATATAATACATATACACATATTTGGGTATATTATATATATACCTATAGATACCATTATTTGTGAGATATATATATATATATATCAACACATATTTGTATATATAACCATATGTATATATAACTTAAAAAAATTAAATTTGGATTATTATTTATACAATAATATTAGAACTTTTAATGATGGCTACGGAGGGCAGCAGAAGGCAGCGGCCTGCAGAGGGAGGTGGCAGCTGGCAGCAGCTCAGTGGCTGGCCAGTGGAGGCAGCCGGCCGGTGAGCTGTGGAGGGCGGCTAGTGGGCAGCTGAAGACAGCCGGCGGATGGCAATGGATGACGGATGGACAAAGTGAAAAAAAGGAGATTGTACAATTTTTTAAATCAGCTAAGGATAGTATTGGAAAGAAAATGTTGAAGTTAGAAGCAACTTCTAAAAAGTAATATTTTAAACTTCTGTGTTTAAACTTACTAAAAACAGTTTTAACTTTGACTTTGGCCAAAAGCACTTTTAATTTTACCTATTTGGTTACAAAGTGCTTTGAAATGCAAAAACTGCAGTCAGACAGGTACTTACTAATTTATGTTCCAAGTTATTTATCTTGGTTTCCATTTCCTTCACAACCACGTTAGACGGGATTCGACGGGGATTTTGTATCTCAACCAGAAAAGGCCTACCTGAACCCAACATCCGAACCTGGAAATAGCATGACATGTTATCAGAATATAATTCACCAAATTCAGATACCAATTAATGAAGGAGATCAGTATACATCGATGTCCTCTCTACCAGCAGCATGGAACTTGTAACTATCACCCTGACAGAAAGGAAGAATGCTGCCACCTATTATCTCCTGGATAAATACATAGAGAACTGTTAGTCCCAAATGTTCACTTAGCCATCTCTTCTGTCAATGATAATGATTAGCAATTAGTACCTCTACAGATGCTTCTCCCTTTCTTTCCTCGTCAATAATCCATCGCGTTTGACTTACATTTCTAGAGTACTACAAGGCAAGGGATATAAAAAAATGTGGGTTAAAAGATTTTTTGAGTGAAGCAGTGACTTGAAAGATTGCTTCAACATGTTTTAGCATCCTAAAAATCTTGTAAGAAGTTTGATCTCAAAAGAAAAAAATTGTTAACAAATCATATTGAAATTGTCATCTGTATAGTGATGATGGAAGGTTTACTCACTAATTTGTGCGTTTAAAAGCCACTACATGTTCACGACTCTGCATGTATTCCTTAATATTTCCTTGCCATTTTATCAGATCATATGTAATCCTAGAAGTTCCTCTATATTTGATATATGCTTCTGATGCAAAATAGAGGTTTAGGTTCCTAAAATAGATTATTGATTAGAATTCTTTTTAACATAAAATTATTGTAATATTCTGGACTAACATTTTTATAAATTTAACAACCTTTTGAATTTTATTATTTTAAATATTTAATTTTCCTACTCATATTAGGACTGGTATTTTTCCATTCAGTTCTATTTGCAAAAAGTTACTTGTAAATTATTATAGATACCTCTATAATTTCACTTTTGGATAGGTATGGACATCATGTGTAATATCTAAATTTTGACTCCAAATCTCTAAGCATCCAAATTAGTAACAATTTGTTCTATATCACATTTGTGTTCATATAATACTAGAGATTCTAAAATCTCTTCAATTTCGAAGACTAATCCTTACTTTTAGATATCTTCCACCAAAGTAGATAGGCATCCTGTAGCAAAGAAATACCAAGCGGCAAGGTTCCTTGACCTGAAAAAAGGTAGAAAAAATATATAAGAAGTACCCTGTTACGAAAAAGCCAAAAATATAAAAGAAAAATACTGCTACATCAAATACAAGAAGTATCAATCAAAGGGAACAGAAACATTTAGACCAATTAGGCAGAATATTCAGGAGGATGTTATAACACTTGAAGAATCCAACAATCTTGAATTGCAAAATTGTGTTTTGAAGTTTTAGTGCAACTCTAATTGATGTTAGATGAACAACTTGATAAAGACCTTTGAAATAAGGAAACCACAGTCCAAACAGTTAAAGTATACCTTCTCTAGAGGCAGTTTGAAGAACTCAGAACACTCGAGATCTTGCGAACCGTTAGAAGACGTTTGAATAAATTTATTTCCTTCACCACTAGGAAAGCCAGAACTATTAGTTCTAGAAATGACACCCTCATTATTGGTACTGTTTGTGCCATTTCCAGTATCTGCATCAACCCATTAAGCCAGATGAACATCAAAATTCAGCTAACTCTATTTTATCCTACAAACTACATTAGAAATACTCAAAAGCATTTGATTAAACTGTCTCAAGAAACCAAAAAAAAAAAAGCATTTGACTATAACTACTGGTAAGAAAGAAATTTTGTAAACGCCAGATTTCGCACCATCACTATCATGGCTCCCAATTCTCCACAACTCATCAATGAAAATGTTTACCATTATCTTAATTGGTACCCTACACTAACAAATATGTAATTACTCTCATTGACATATAATGAAAAGCAGGCAAGTAAAGAGGCAGCTGGCCGAGCTGGACTTAGCAAATTGGTCGTCATTGGAGGAGGTGGCAGGGAGACAGAGGTCTAGACAGTATGGATTCAGGAAAGTAACCGGAACACAAATTCTTCCATCAGATGGCACATTCCAAACAACCCCAACCCCAACCCCCCCCCAAAAAAAAAAAAGATTAGTGATCTGTGATGTAACGGACTATGATGTGGAGAATAGTATGAAATAGGCTGTTGGAGACTTGTACGCTAAAGTGGCATGATGAGATTGAGGATTGAAGACCAACCTAGATGGTATTGTGTTTGATTCCCTCGCACCATTTTTATATTTAATTTCTCCATTTATAAGCTTGAATCATCAAAGTGTTTTATTGAAGATTAATCTCAAATATTCTATCCTCTCTCTCTATCTCGATGTTCTTCTCTCTCTAAACTCTCGGTTTCTCTCTTTCTGGGGAGGATGGTTATTGAATTGAAATTCACATTGCAAATCAAAAACATAATCTTTTGAACGAGAAACATCATCGAGTTAAATTGGAAATTTGTAATATAACTCACTAATCAAAATATACTGTCATATATCATTATATATAAAAATATTTACAACTAAAATATTTCAGAAAATCCACAGTATAGTAGGCAACTAGCAATATTTGTTTCTGAAGAATATAATGTCGATACATAGTATAGTTCACAAATTAACATAATTTATTTTTCAAAATAACAAAAGAAAATTGCATACATCATCCTCAAAAATATAACCTGTAAGTAAATTAAAATAACTTACCAAAGTATTTTAGCAGATTTAATATCCATAAAATCGAGTAAACAATAGTGAATTGAATAGTTGAATTAACCATCGATTTTTAAAATTTGTCTACCATTCATAGTAGATTGTGCTTCATCCATAATCAAAATCGTTTTGTTACTGACTCGATTCTAACATATCAAGCTTGAGTCGTTGATTAAGATTCTAACAACAGTGAACAAATTTATATTGTGCAGTAATATAAATCTCTTTTTGTGAATAGTTCTTAATATTCATGATGGGCAACTATAAACACATAATAAAGCCCAGAGAACTACCATTCAAAACATTTAAAAAGAACAAACACACAACAGAAAATGGTTATGTGCTCCATTTGAAACAAAACTGAGAAAGAGGCAGGTCACACAGGATCTAACAGGAAAAAGTTTATTTTATTTGCTTTGAGAAGGAAAACAATAAAGTATTTTCATTAGGAAAGAAAGGTAATTACTGTCTTCATAAATAAACAATACATGCCTGTTTTTCTTCTCTTGCAACCTTGGTTCCTCTCAGCAGAATTCTCAATTGCATTTGAGGCCGTTGTGCAAGTCAAACGAATGCGAAAAGAGCCTAGACTTGATTTAACACCCTGCAATACTTCAATTTAATGATAGATTAAGCATCAGTCAACACAGTTCCTACTCTGCAGCCAAGCCACTTCAAGATAACCCAAGTCCCTATATATAGCCAATAATATGTTACAATTATGTGCAAACTAAGCTGATGTGACTAAAAGTCAGGACAGACCACCACAAGATATAAGGTAAAGGATTTCTACAACATCATAAGATATAAAGGTCAAAAGCATATTCTCCCTCACCAACAATGTTTCAAGGGAATCTGCAATCGCACAACGAAAAGCATCCTTTGCAGAAATGTATTCGGAGAGTGAACTCTCTTGGAACCAAAGTTCAGACTCATACTTCTTTTTCATGTGCAGCCTACAAAAGGTTTGGAAACAAAGAACAAATTTTAGCTAACATAATGCTGCAGGGAAAAACACCGAATGAAACTTGACAACTTCTTTAAACACGAATAGTTTCCACTTCTATCCAATGGCGGTACACAAGCTTCATACAACCCATCATTTTCTATACTAAAAAATGGGGAAAAACTGCAGTAAAGAATTTCAACAAACTCTGACCATTTTCTGTTTTCCACGCATCAATATGATCCAAGGAAATTAAAACTCACCGAACAATGCGTTCGTTTTCCAGGATTACTGGTGGTATTGAGACTTCAATAGAAAAGCTGTCAACCTGATGACCTTCTTGCTTTACCAATTCAGCAATCTTCGCAGCAAAATCATTGGCACTTTCCATCTTTACCAGCATTCCTTTGTCATCACAATATGTGAATTGCAATACACCCAAACAAAGGCTGCACAATGTAGACTCCATATACGTAAGACTAACTGAATCTTCCTTATCTCCAAGCATGCACCACAAAATTGATGACGAAACTGAAAAGAAACGAGGAATCCGCCTCTGGATTCCAAAGAGGCGAAAGACGCACCTCACACATACCTGCAAGAGAACGAAAAGTTATCACTCGACTAATTCCAGACTAATTAGCACCTGAAAGGAAAAAAAAAAAAAAAAAAAGAAGAAGATATCTAGGTGAAGTCAACACGTTTCCTATTCAATGACTTGACTAGACGATCAAACAGACCAGAAAGCGAAGCCATTCTTCGCAAAGAGTCTGAAACGGTTTCTATGGCGGACAAGAAGTTTTGATTAAATTTTAATAGCGAAGACAATGAACATTTTAGAAATGCAAAAGGTAAGTAGACAAGAAAACGAACCCCCATAAACAACAGGTCTTTGACGGCATTAGAGGGCAAGGACCGAACGGCGTCGTTGAGGAGGTTGGTCTCCAGGTCGCTAGGGCTGAGTTTGCAGTCCGTTGAGGGCGAGGTAGCGCGTACCACCTCCTGAGCATTGCTGACTTGCGTGACTTCCACCTCACCCGACATTCCAAAATAACTGTTATTAGATAAACAATGGCGGCACTCTCTCCGGAGGACTCTGTAGTTCAAAAGCAGATTGTTCTGTTAAGGAAGACGGGGAAAACAAACTGCAGGTATTAACCGTCCCACGAAAATACCGAATGCCCAGGGTCTTGGCTCGGAGATTTTTACATGAATCAGGGGTTCATTCAAAATGCACGTACTACGTACAGGGCCAAATTTGGGCTTACCAACCTGCCGTGTGGGCCTTAGCACCATGTTTATGGTGGAAAAGAGAGCCAGTAGATTTTGAAGTAAAAAAGAAAGGTAAGGTAAAATAAAGGTATAATTACTATTTTTTAATTATATATAGTGTTATGGAAAATAGAAAAGTAAACAAAATACGTTGTATTAGATAATTAAGAAAATATAATATTAAATACATTTTGGAACTTTCCTAACCCTAGTTCAAATGAGTTAGTAATAATAAATGATCAAAAATATTTTTATATCTTGTCTACAGAGATTTGTTAAATCAAAAACCATACCCTCCCCATTACAGGAGTTCATGTAAATTATGTTTTACATTAATGGATTGGGTATTGAAGGAAGAAAGCACACTGAGTGTCTCCACTAAGCTATGTAGTTAACAGAAAAACATACATAGCAAAGATATCCACGGGGCGGTTCGCCCTATTCAGATATTCACGACCAAGAAGTACTGGATTCTCTTTCGGATAGGTCCTGAAAGGAGAAGGAAGGCTGGAATGCCACCAGGCGTCTATTATTGAATTCACCCGACCCGATAGTACCAATTTTGTTTTTGATTACAATTTGTTTCACCCATCAAATGGAATTTCTATTACTCTCTTCACCCTTCATGTACCTACCAAATTTATTTTTTGGAATTTGCATATCAAGCAAGTGTATTTACAATGACGAAGTCAAACCACGAAGATCTACATAACCAGACAACACTGTTCGATTTCGTTCTTTCACCTTCGTCTGATACAGGACCCTGCAAATTAAGAACAAAATCTCATGTTCCTTTGTGTATAAAGAAAGCTGATAACTTACTGGCCTTCATAATGAATGCTACCAAAAAAAAAATGTACCTCAAGCCTTCAAGCCACATTTCAGTAATCAAAGTTTCTCCGGGATACACATGTAGGAGGAATCGTCCTAATATATTTTTGACAATATGTGGATCTCCCTTGCAAATACATTTGATAATTGCCCTAACAGCAAAGCCGAGTGTGCACAGCCCATGCAATATTGGACGCGAGAATCTTCAACAAATGATCAAGATTTCTGTTAACACGACATTCGCAATGCATCCCAAAAGTGCTATGAAAAGGAGAAGGTGCTATATTCTTTTGCTATACAGAAAGCACAATATGTAAGGGAATGCAGCCACAACCTCAAGATGAGAAAGTAAATTGAAAAAGGTATAATTTATATCAGAATAAGTTCCATCCATACAACAGAAGCAGTTCTAATCTTCTTTGACGTGAGTTCCCTCCTCACCATTAGTGAGCAAGAATGACAATATGCATTTCTACTAAAGCACAGGAACTAGCTAACTATTTTTGGGATTGCAGTGTACATGACTTTTTCTTGAGCACCTTTTTTCACAAAGCAATCTGACCCTTAATACAATAACAAAACTTTCAATAAGATATTTCCCCCAACTAAGCAGGAAATATAAAATAAAAAATTTAATAATTAACATCCCAGACTTTTCTCTTCCATTAGTTTTAAACAATTACTTTTTTTCATAAAAAAACAATGTAAACATGTTTCAGGTTAATTCTCAAAAGGTCATGTATAAGTCATGGTTAGAGATGATTCCAAAAAGAGTTCAAGGAGAAAGTATCTAGTAACAATTGATAGTTGGTTTTGTAGTTTCATAGTATACCAACCCTGCAACTTGAGCCATCTTCGGATCTGAATGCAGAGGATTATAGTCACCAGATAACCTATAAAGTAATGCCTGCAAAGTGGTATAAACAAGGTTTAAAATTTATAGAACAGCTAGCAGCTAAAAGAATCATAGGCCCTCCAATGTGAAAAAAAGTTCCAATGCAACTCATCATTACCTTGGACCCCAATAAAGACAATATT